GGTACTGTCGACAGTGGGGAGCGCCCGACCTCTCTCTCTCTCTCGAAATGTTCTCACACGGCCATACATATACAGCCTCTACCAAGGAAGTCGTATTCACTGCCTTCTCGTGACTATGGTGTTGTTTACAAAATCGAAAGGACGAAAAGCGAATGTCCGGCGCTTTAACCGCACCGGTGGACACGGGAAGTTCACCTAGGGAGGTTGGAAAACCCTGTTTCTAAATCGGTGGTGCGCATGGGCTCCAGTGTCCTGAAGGGAATAAATGGCGTATGAACCAATCGTCGGTCACCGGTTACCATGGGACTGCATCTCCTTACGATGCTCCACTGCCTTGTGGGTTAGACCTTTAGGTCAAAGGCTGTGGGTGTGGACTCTTAAGAAGACCACCTGCTTCAGTCTGGGCACCTAGTCAGTATCACAGCCCTCACGCAATCAAATGAAATGACATTCTTTCGTGTAGCGCATGTATATCTGTTGCCTTCTTGTACAAACATTTATCTGTTCAAATAAATAAAATAAATAAATAAAATGATGATAAACGTGAGAATGTTTTATTTACTTCATAAAATAGAATATTGATATTAAATAGGAAGAAAGATATATTTCCTTGAAAAAGATTGGACCAGTTTGCCAGGCGAAGACTTAGATTTACTTCACATTTGACAAATGCCTTCTTTTTATTTAATAACTAACATCAACTCAGTGTTCAAATACTGTGAAATTACTCGATCTAATTTAGACGAAAGTTCCTATATAGAATATAGATGTCTCCTTTGTTCAGTTGTTCCACACATTCAGGGAGTTGGTGTGATGCTCTTCGCAGAAGCATGCGAGTCACTTATTCGATAGTTGTCTCATAGAACCAGAATCATCAAAGCATCCTTCTAAATAAAGGATATAGAAATTTCTTTGATGTTAGAAATAATATTTGAAATATCTAACAATAAGGTATCATTTGAATTAGCATAGTTTGGCACAGTTTAAAGATTAAATTGTCATTTTTCACTGTTGAATACTTTATTATTCGGTATCGATCGAAGGTTTAATGAAATCTGTCATCAATTAATGAATTTAAAGTAGTTCTCTCTAAAAGTAAGTTCATGCTATATTATGATGGCTTTAAATGAGGTGATTATTATGTACGTAAACTAGTGTCAGTTTGGTAATTAAAGATATTTACAGATTATATATGTATAATCTCCATATTCAAGTCCCTTCATTATCGTAAATTACATTGGGTTACTAATGGAGTCTAGTTTAATGATCCTTCAAAGTAGTGAATACTTATCACCTCCTCACCATCATGGATTGGACTTTGGATAAAACTGACTTTCAACCTAAACTTCGGCTTAACTGATATTGTATGCTGGTTGATGAATAACTTCAAAATGAATTTGTGAGGTTATAATGGGTTGTGGTGACTGATGGATATCAGCTGAATCGATAATAATGATACAGTCATTACTTATGTTGAGTGTCGATATCCCTAGCGGATTGCATAGAATTGGTCTAGATTCAGCGATTAGTATTGAGACGTAAACTCTGCCTGTGTCTACTTCAGGTGTATTGCCGGTCCCAATACCGGAAAAAAGAGCAGAGTTAGGATTGGAGAGAGCAACCGCATCTACATAGGAAAAAACATTAAAAAAAGACTGATTAAAACAAACAATTTAGACAATTTAAATTCTGTCCTCTGTGTTGAACGATCTTAATTCTGAAGAATTTTGATGCCTCATGGTGAAAGCTGAAATTTTTCACAGGTCATGAAACCGATGACCCTTCTAACAACCACAACAACAACTTTTATAATCCTCAGAAGCATGCGAGTCACTTATTCGATAGTTGTCTCATGGAACCAGAATCATTGAAACATTTGCAAAACAAATAATCAGGGGAGCCAATTTTACGCGCCTATCAACGAAAGCAATGACGATGATTAAGATCAGTTATAAGAGAGGCAGTGATCCATCATAGCGAAGTGTCTAGGAAAGTAGCTGACAATGCTGATGGAGATCTAAACGGCAAAGTCTAAATGGTCAAGAACGGTTATGAAGATATGATGAGACGACGTGGACTGGAATGACTTGGAGAAATGGATGACAACGGTGAGAGATTTGCAAGTCTATGTGCATTCAACAAATTGGTTATAGATGGCCAATATTTTCATACAAAACTACATGGATCTCACTGGACCACACCACGGATAACCAGATTCACTATATTTAATACAGTAAAATATTCAGAAAGTCAAAAGATGTGAGAACCAGGAGGGGAACTGACATGGCTTCAGATCACCACTAACTGGTGGTTGACAAGATGAAGCTGAAACTAAGGATACACTGGACAAACAGCACTACAATTGTTCAATACAACAGTTCTTCGAGATACTGACAAACTCAAGGAATTCAAGATAACTTTAAACAACAGGTTCCACAACTTACAGGGTCTACTGAAAAAGGAGAAGCAACTATAGAGGGCAGTTGGAAAGAGATCAAAAAAGCACTCATTCGAACGTGCGAGGAGGTGATGGGCCGTACTAAACATCACCGTAAACAATGAATCTTTATCGAAACCCTAGGTAGAAAGGAAGAACAAGAAAACAGCAATTAACAACAGCCGAACTGGAACAGAAAAAGCCAAGGCATAAGTTGAATACACAGAAGCAAAGAAGCAAGTGAAGAGGAGTCATGGAGCTGACAAGCAGGAATATGTGGAAGAGCTAGGAACGACAGTGGAAAAAGCTGCAAGAGAAGGAAATATGTAACAACCATATGACACGTAGAAGCTGGCAGGGAAATATAATAAACCAGAGAGACCGGTTAAGGACGGAGAAGGCAATATAGTCACTGAAATTTAAAGAGAGTTACAGATGGATGGAACACAATTCGAGGAACTCTTAAATAGACCAGCTCCATTGACCCACTTGATATCGAAACAACAAACGCAGACCTTCCTATCGATGTCACTCAATTAACGATGGAATAAATGAGAATGTACACCGGACATTGTAAGATTGGGAACGCAGTAGTACTTGACAATATACCAGCTGAAGCTTTCAAATCGGACATAGAAGTAATTGCAGGTATGCTCCACGTTCTATACAGAAGGAATGTTGAGCAAGAACAAGTGCCGCTGACACAGTGGATGGAAAGATACCTCATCAGGATATCAAAGGAAAGAGATCTGAGCAAATGCGACAAACACAGAGACATCACACTATAGAGTAACAAGGAGACTTCTCAAAGGAGTAATGCTGAACCAGATGAAAAACTCAATAGACGTCCAGCTATGAGATCAACAGTCTGGATTCCGTGAGGATTGTCGTGCACAGAAGAAATCGCGACACCACGGATGATCGTTGAACAATCAATTGAATGTACTACTCACTAAACATCAACTTCTTTGATTATGAGAAAGCATTCAACGGTGTGAATAGGAGAACATTATGGAAACTTCTTCTACAATATGATGCGAGTACCTGAGGAGATTGTCAACGTGATCCGGATTTTTACTACGGACTATGGTGCAAAGTGGTGAATGGCGGACAGATGACAGACGCTTTCCGAAAGAGAACCGTAGTGTGACAAGGTTGCTTACTCCCTCCCTTTCTCTTTCTTCTGGTAGATGACTGGATTACGAAGATCTTTAGAAAAGCCTCTGCATCACTAGGCCTCAACATAAGCAAGAGTAAAACCCAGATCCTTGAACTCAACACAAAGTACACCAACACAATCATACGGGATAGAGAAACTCTGGAAGCGGTGTAAAGCTTCACGTATCTGTGTAACATTATCAATGAACAAGGAGGATCTGATGCAGACGTAAAGGCGAATACTGGCAAAGTGAAAGACCAATTTCCTGCAATCGACGAACATATGAAACTCAAAACAACTGTCAAGCAATATCAAAGTCATAATCTTCAATAGCAACATCAGGACAATACTATTGTATGGAGCTGAAACTTGGAGAACTACCACAACTATTATCAATAAGGTACAAGTATTTATAAACAGTTGTCTACGTAAGATACTCAATGTTCGTTGGACGGATACCATTAGCAACAGCCTACTGTGAGAGAGAACAAGTCAGGTTCCAGCTGAGGAGGAAATTGAGAACAGAAGTTGGAAGTGGATGTGCCACGCATTGAAGAAGTCATGAATCTGCATCATGAGACAATCTATAACTTGGAATCCTGAGAGGAATCGGAAAAAAAGAAGACCTTGGATTACATTGCGTCTGGAAACCAAGGCAGATATTAGAAGAATGAATCGCCACTGGAATGAACCGGAATCGCTTTTTCTGGACAGGGTTGGATGGAAAATGCTGGTGAGCGGCCTATACTCCTCCATGAGGAGTAACAGGCGTAAGGAAGTAAAGTGAGTATGAATGATTACTATTGTGTCAATTATTGTCTTCAGCTCGACGAATTTGTAAAATGATAGATGCCATGATTATGGATGAAAATTTATTGACTGTTGTTCACATGAAAAAAGGTTTTTTGTCACTTACTTTGAGTACAGATACAACATTTATTCACAGTTGGATTCGTAAATTCCCTTTCGTGGATATGTGATTTGAGCCAACACACATTAGAAGAAAATGGAAAACCAAGTCATATTTCATGTTTTAAACTGTTTAACCCATTATATATCTGCTGACACTAATGCGACTAATGATTGGTGGTGTCAAAGTAGATTAGAAGAAAACCAGGATGGTCAAACCAAAACACGCAACCTTTGTGCCTTGTTCTACGCTGCGTATTTGTAACTGGCTGATACTGGAAATTTTGTGAGTTGAGTGTTGACAATGTGTTGGGATACAAGCACTGCAAGCTATATAGGAGCATTCCTTTATTTTTACAGCAAATGACTTTTTTAAGTGCTTCGCTGACGAGTAAATTTTAAAGGCAAAATACAAGTTATGAGTATTTAGCATGATTTACATTTTTTGTCTACATATTTCAAGGAGAGTTTCAATTTCGTCTTTGTCTATTACAGAAGAAAAGTACAGGAATTGTTGAAGGCTAAAATACCAGATCATGAGGTAAGATATATTTTCATAGTCTGTTCATTCATTCGTGCAGATATTCAAGAAAGGAATTCAATTTCTCCGTTGTTTTATGGTTACCTCTATTGCCTGTTTTGATGCTTTGTATCGGAGATTACTTCAGAAAGAAGACATCCTCGAAAACAGACTTGTGCTGGAAAGACCTGATTAATAATGCATCAGTTGCGAAAGAAGGAGTAGATTGGGTCTCAACTCGGATTTCGCGTCTTCGTAGATTATTTGACTTCAGGTGAGTGAGAATATCACTTTATATATTATCGTACACAAATCCGTATTTTTCGTGAACAACTAATGCTTTCAATGGTGCTGAAAAATTATTCATGACGAAGTGATTAAAGGTGTGATTTTCGTTACCAAATATATAAAATTGTTGCCTAAAATAAATTCACTTTTAGATATTTAGTCTTCCAGTTTGTATTTTGTATAGGAAAGAGTATCTTGTTAAGTATTTACTTACACCTTTATGCCACAATTAAACATTTGATATTTGCTAGCTTATCATTCAAGCTTCTGTCAACCATATATACCCATTTTACTTGTATTCTTTATTATTATTTGTGATATCCAGTAACAGCATTTTTACTAGGATTACTTTAAAATTTTCTGTGGATGCCTAAACTGTCTGTTCAGTAGTCATCATTGGCAAAATGTTCACATATAGCTTGTCCCTTATGTAGGTTGAAAATATTATTGTTATTGTGACACTGAGTCGACATGATTTAATTGATGAATTGCAGACATAAATATACTCAATTATTCTCAAATAGTTTTCGAAATTTACGACCAAATATATTTGGGCTCCTATTTTGATGTGCTGACATACGATAACATCCAATAGCAATTGCTTAGAAGTGCTTGTAATAGGAGTGGAATGATTGAGCCAGATATATGGAGTTAAATATTTTACCGTATAACTAAAGCTTATCTGAAAGAGTAGATCATTTCTAATTTCAAATCCCATGTTGTACATTTATTATAAATTGCCAAGACAATCGACCATCCATAAATTTACATTAATTACTAACTATCACTTCCAATGCAACTATTTTGACTTTGTATTTGAATTCCTACTTTTGAGACTGCTTGATCGTTTCAACAAGAAATTCATAGTTTGGTTGGTAATAAGAAGAAAGCATTGAATAATTACCTCACTCTATATGATGAAAAATCACAAACCATGATCAGTGAATTCATAGTAGGAACTGACATTATTAATGAGTACAATCCCTTATTCGATTATCAGGAGATTTATTTAATTTATTACTTATGTATTGTTAGTTATCACTGTTGCTTAACTAAGCGATGTTATTTTTATTTATTTAAACACACAAATATTGGTACAAAGGGACACGAGATATATATGCACCACACAAAACAATCAGAATGGTAAGAGAAAAAGAAGGTAAAGTGCATATAGGAAAAAAAAGGGAAAGAACCATAACAACCAAAGATTAGTGTATGTTACTGTATTATTGACAATAATAACGAGGAAACCGGAAAGGTACAACCAGAATAATTCATTCATTTAAGAAAGTTAAAACTATTTTTCATGAAGAATGTAAAAGAAGGCCACAGCAGGATCGTCACTAGCTTCTATTCTGAGCCATATTTGATAACGTCTCTAGCCACTGTGTTGCACCATCACTCGGAGCCCAAACAGGTAGTCGTGAAGGGCCAACAGAAGCCAGTCTTTTGCAGCTTTCTTTCATACCACGAAAGCATTGTCATAGACTGACCACCTGTTCTCTTTTTCCAAGCAGTCCCAGAGTTGGCAAATATTGCACGACGTGGAATTCTCTGGGACGACATTCGTAGAACATGTCCAAGCCATCGAAGTCAGTGTTTCAAGATGGTGACATCAATTGAATTATCGTCTCTGCGCCCGAACACACGATGCCGAACCTCTGCATTACTAACATGGTGTTGCCACTGAATGTCAGCAATCCTCCGGAGACAACAATGATCGAACACAGAGAGACGTCTAACATCCTCAACTCAGAGAGGCCAGGTTTCACAAGCATAGAGCAAAACTGCTCTCACCGACGCGTTGTAGATCCGACTTTTTACAGCCAGACTAACATCACGAAGGCGCCAAAGATGGCCCAGATTGGCGTAAGCCGCCCTGGATATTAATTATACGTGCATTAATCTCATCACTCACGCCACCACCAGCACTTATGTAGCTACCTAGATACACGAACTTCTCAACTACTTCAATCTGCTCACCATCAAGGGTGAGTACAGGATGAGAATCCTGGCAGTCTGGTAGGAGTAATTTGCACTTGGAGGGTGCAAAGCACATACCGTACCTGCGGACACTGATTGAAAACTAATTAAGTGCGGATTGCACGGCTTGGGCATTATCACACAATGAGACAATATCATCCGCATGCTCAAGGTCAAGATGTCTTTCTCCAGGCAACATATCCACACCGCCATTACTTACATCCATCAGAGCTGTTTCGAGAATGTCATCGATGGCAATGTGGAAGAGGAATAGTGAGATTGGGCAACCCTGTCTAACTCCATAGCTTGAAGAGAAAGGTGGTCGTATGCCCTCACTCTACCTGAAGTGTTTGTATATACGGCCCTTTAGATGTTAAAAGATTTCCTAGGCACACCCTCTTCAATAGACAATAACGGAGAACAGTCCTGTCCAACGCATCGAAGGCAGTCCTGATGTCACGAAACACTAAGATTTTTGGCTTGTGATAAGTATGATCATGTTCTAACATTTGGCGGAGGGTGAAGATATGATCAATGCACCCTCGACCAGGACGAAAACCAACGTGGTCTTCGCGAGTTAATCATTCCAGGGTTTTGAACAACCTACGAAATATGACAGAAGCCAATAGCTTGGACACAGTCGGAAGGAAACTTATCCCTCGATAGCTTTTACAGGAACGACGTGAACCTTTTTGAAAGATAAGGAAAACTATTGACTCATTCCATGATGTTGGAACACCCTCTAGTTGCCAGACCTTTGTAAACAACGTTGTCAGTTTATTAACAAGAAAGTCACCACCGTCTTAAAAAAAGCCGGAGGTCAGTCATCTGGGCCCAGTGATTTATAGCGATGGTCTTGCACACAACCATGCTGGCGTTAGGTGATCGCGATATGATCAATCTGAGTTCAGGCTATGATGCAGAGGGAAGACGTCAGGTGACATATGAGCGATGACTGTGCCGGAAATTAGTATTAGCCAGAAACAGGTTATCGTCCATGAACAGTTGCAGTAGACGGTTCACGTTTTCTGTCCTAGGCTAGAATGTCCCTATCGACCACCTAAACGACTATCTTCTGTGCCTAAACGCGCGACCTGTGCATTCAAGTTTCGGGCTAGTGCTACAATATCTATCGAACGCGCTTTCTGGCGAAGGACAGCAGTAAAATTCATTCTTGATTGCATCCGGGTTGCAATCTGTCGAGGCAAAGGCCGAGATGCAGTAATTTCCATCCCACCAGATTTGTGTGAGGGACATGATACTTCCCGGGTGTCCAGACCGAAGCAGGTGGCTTTCTTAGTGGGTCACATTCCGAGCCTTTGACCCGAAGGTCTGACCCACAAGGCAGTGGAGCATCGCGAGTAGATACAGTACCATGGTAGCCGTTGACCAACAATTCGTTGATACGCAATTGGTTCTCTCAGGGTACTGAAGCCCATGTGCACCATTGGTTAGGAATCAGGGTTTCCCAACTCCCCTAGGTAAAGTTTACGTGTCTAGATGCCCGGTCAATTCGCCGGAGATTCACTTTTTGTCCTCGCAATTTCGTGAACAACAATAATGTCACGAGAAGGCAGTGGATAAGACTCAACTGGCTGAGGCTATATACGTGTGGTTGCGTGACAGCATTTCGATAGAGAGGGCGAGCACTCCGCACTCTTGGCAGTGTAAAGGCTTCTTGGCACTGAGCGATGTAGATCATGTTCATATGCTTCAACAGAACAACTCACATCACTGTAACAACAATTATACAAAATCCAACATTTCTTAGATAATACTAATGAAGTTTTTGCCTTTCTGTTTCAGTGAAAGTATTTCAATGAAAACCATCAAGATGGATCAAATAACAAGTAGGTTGTTTTATTCTTCTTGTTCAATAGTTAATAGTTAATCTTAATAATTTTTGAAAGGATGAACATTTAGCTGATATCATAGATAAAATGAAATTGAATCACTGACAATCGTTATAAGTATGTGTAGTGTCGGAGAGTGAATTAATAATGTGTTTACATATTAAATTGGATAAATGATACTGCATTATGTGTTGCATGAAGTGAACTGAGTAATGGAATGGGTTATAACTTGTGGCCTGGATGCCGTGCTAATGTATAACAGGATAATACCGCCGATTAGAGAGCACTGTTTTACCGATCGGACCGATGACTCATAAAACCTGTACAAGCAGTCTAGAGTACGTATCGGTCATGCTTGCTGCCCAGCTCAGCCAGTTAAGTCCAGAACACCGATAACAGCCTCTGCGGTATGAATCATTTATTTCAAATATGCTGGGTTTATTGTGATGTTTAAGAGTATTTGAATTACAGTATGAACTAGTAATCCCAGAAACAACTCAACTTAATTAAGAAGTATTAGATGAACACGAACGAATGTACTGCATTTGTAAATCAAAATGAAAACAATCATCAATACAAAAGAATCATTGATTCATTCAAACACCACATGCGCCACCGCTTAAATCAGGATCCATATTCCTGAAACCAATCGTTCCTCTTCTCTCTAGGTTCATCACGTGTCTGCTCGACTGTGTAATAGATGTAGACTCTGTCCGATCTAGAATATACTCATTAGTATATAGAATTACCTACCAAATTTGGAACAGACTCACCTGATTCCTGGTATTGTATACATCCATCATGTTGGTTGCGTAGCGAAACCAATGACATCCAGAATTTGCATCATAGACTTTCCAAAATTATCCTCCCCCATGAAATAATGTTGGGTCCTTACGCTCCGAATAATATATGTGAGTATTTGGGGATAAACACCGACACATAATTTGAGGCATTTCATCATGTGAATTCGACTTGTATAAAAATTATGATACATAATCGTTTTGTTATTCATAATGGAATACACAAATAAAAAAACATGGATATGTGTAATTAACACATTTGATTCATCTAGGCTTGATTGGTTTGCGAAACAATCAAGTGGAAAGCATGCATCTGCCCCATACTGATTAGGATAATCTTGGACGTGATTTGGATTCTCCGCCTGTGCAAACTCCATATCTGGAAAAATCGGTTTCTGATTGCCTCAAGAAAGCTTGCTATTCCCTCTGATTCATCATGCCACTGGCTAGGGATTCTACTCAACATACATTGTTCGTGAGAATATCCAACATCCGATACAAAAACATCACAAATGTGAATAGAATTCGACTCATTCGGAACATATTCGTCACATTCATTGGGAATATCACTAAAAATAAATCCACGGCGACGACGAAGAACATTTGATATTACATATGAACTCGATCTTTCTGAAACATTTCTACTAAATTAATTAGACGTCATGTAAGGCCGGCTCGCTGGTAAACTCTAGGATGCATTAAGAAGCCAAAAGAGAGCCTCAGATATCTCACCCAATCACTGCTAGGGGAAAATTCTAGAATGTTGACGTGTAGCTTCCCAGTTGGATAGATAAGAATGACCCCTATGTGCCTAATGGTTGTATGAAATGATGATTTACTCTCAGTCAAAAACTATAAAAATATGAGATTTCTGTAGTATATTTTGACACTGTTTTGCGGGAATAAAGTCCCTACTTATTAGTCTTCTGTCTTCTTTCTTATGACGTTACGGGTTCGATCGTTCAAGTAGTCTAGTAGTACGCGGCATAGTAAGAATCAAAGCTCTAGATATGAAAAGTCACATTAGAGAACAATGGATCATTAGAAAAATTAGCATCAACCAAAACTGAATATGGTTTTTGATTATAATCTCACGCTAACAACATACTATTCTCAGAGTTGTAAGAAATTTCATCAGAAATATGTGAATCATTATGACATACCATATCTGGTACAGAATTATGAAAAATTTGTTTCTGGGTTTTATTCAAATCTGGACTGCTATGTGACGTTATACCGCTTCCAGAAGTATTGAATAAAGATAAGTGATCATTGGGAACATCCAACTTAATTGGATTACAGTCGCGAATTTCAGCATAAGTTTCAGCGAAATGAACCATGGTATTACAATCTGACTGAATGTGTCCAGTTTTAACGCACTTGAGGCATTAAAAATTACGAAAAACATATGAATTATATAGGTAAAACTTGCCATAGAACAAGCATTTACCAAACCTGTGCTCATCTTCGAGAACCGTTTCACAATATAATGAGTTGTTCTCTGAATAGCCCTGTTTACGTATTGGACTGCGACGACGTAGTAACGTGGTGAAATTCCCGATGTTCTGGCGAACCTTATTATCTAGTTGTTTTCTTTTACGGCATTCGAAATTTGTGTACTTTACATGGTCCAGCATTAGTTGCATGAGGGAGTGAAATCAGCTTTTCTGCTAATGCCAAAGTCTTTATTAGGCTATATGCTTCTTTTCCGATGAACGTAAGGAAATGAGTCACAATATTGAAATCCTCAATCTCTGCATTGGTCATTGTCCAGATTTTGAACCTCACCATGTAATCCTGAAAAGTATTAAAATCTAAGTGTATGTTCGATCATTCTATCACAGGCTACATCGCGATGCCAATGTGATGTATAAGAGTGTTTGAATTGCAGTATGCACTAGTAAATCCAAGAACAACGAAATTTAATGAAGAAGTATTAGATGAACACGAAGGAATGTATTGCATTTGGAAATCAAAATGAAAACGGTCATCAATACAAAAGAATCATTGTTTCATTCAAACACCAGATTTATATACCAAACAGACAGACCACATTGTACCATTAAATAGAAAACAACATTAGTACAATATTTAAACAAATGTGGCTGTGAATAAGGAAGATAGTAAGTGATAGACAAGGCATACCTTAAGAATAGTAAATCATATAATAATAGTTCATAGGTCAAAACAAAACTGATGTCGGCAGATATAAGTAGTATGCATCATCAATCGCAAGTGAAATGTCTGGCAGCAAAGGGTTAAAATGATAGAAGAAGAGAGAACAACAAGTGATAGTGATTTGTGTGGAAACGAAGGAACAGTTAGGTTTCAGACAACTGACTAACATTTTACAAGTGAAGAATTTACTGTATGATTCTCAGGTTTTATTAAGAAATTTAATTAGTTGAGACTATGGGCTAGCCCACCATGAAAATCCTGGAAGCACAGAGCGTCCGCTTCACTCAGTTGTGGGACCCCTCAGCAGTGCGCGATCCCGCCCCTCTAGATTCGAACCCATACGTGGTTGAACTCCACTGGTCACTGCTTCTCACTAGAACTCCAGAAAATATTTTTTGAAGCCAGTCACTAGTGACTATATGTTGGTTAATATCGGAAGGGTTTTTTACATACTTCAGTAATTTTAATAGTTGAGATCACGAGTCGATTGAAGCTTGACCACTATAAAAGACTTTGAAACACTTCTGAGGTTACCATGAATGGGAAGAAACGTCCATTCAATGCTTCCAGGTTTTTAATGGTGGTCTAGTTTCAATTGACTTATGATCTCAACAAAACATCTTCTGCTGTAATTTTGTATTCAAGTAAATTTGGTTGTCCCCGTCGGTGTTCTTGTTCTCGATAGTAGAACTGTTAGCAACGCATTTTCAAACAACTCATCTAAAGTTACATAGTCTTTCCGTTATTCCTATCTGGAAGTATATCTTATGATTTCATGGGAATTCCAAGCTGACTTCACACCATTGATACCAAGGTTGAACCTGGTGGTTTCAAACGAATTGAGTACTGGGTAAAGAGAGGCTCAATAATAAATATGTTTGTTAGTGGGATATAGTTTGGATTAAGGCATGTTCCATGCAGGTCAGTATGTGTCCAAACAAAGTGTGACACAACTCCCTTATTGTCTAATAGGTGAACGAATAGAAAACAGAGACCAGTCATGCAGTTAGAGGTAGACCCTAACACCAAATCCTACTCACCTGCTCAAATGGGAGGTGTTAGCTGGATATAGATTGTATTAATGCATCTTCCATACAAGATTGTGTTGGAGCATACTAATTGGCTATTTTCTACTCGAGCAGCGCTAGTGGGTACTTGAAGAAGTATGTTATGTCAATAATATAAATATCTTAAGGTTCTTCTTATCACAATTCCCACTTTCACCCAAACTTGAGTTTTTCAAAAAATTCTGGAATGTTGCTAAACATAGTAGCAGTGTAGCAAACAGTCAATCAAAAACTGTCAATGTAACTTTACATCTTCATGATGTTTCTAGCAAAACTTTTAGTCAAACGCTGATTGGATAAAATGCTTCCTAATGTTTCCTGATACTTTCTTATCTGTTGCTAGAAATTTTCATAATCGCCCCAACAATAAACACGAGAAAATCATTTTTCAATAGTGTCTCATGAATTATTAAATGATTTATAACTAGTCAGGATTGTGCAATGAATTAATGTAATTTATTTGACTGGCATATATCACTGGAAATGTGAAGTGGTATAAATTAGCATTTAATTTATAATAAGAGGAAATATTTAAATTGAATATTTTCATTTCAGATGAAAATCGCATTGGTATTTCTCATGAAACACTTAGAAGTCGTGCTTTGAACTACGTTCATGAAGCACAAAACACTTTGACAAATTTACACAGCATTTCTACACAATTACAAGGACTTCATCATAAGGATTTGAACAATGAAACAGTTTCATCTATTCAAGCATCATTAATTCGCTATCGACAGAATATGGAGGAAATTATTTTATATTTGGAAATTATTCTTAACAAATTAGGTCAATTAGATGGATTTTCACAAATCAAAATGATTGGCTTAGATAAGCTTTCACAGAGACTAGATAAGAAGATTCATGAGCAACAGGTTAGAATCGATTACTTCTTTCTTAACACTTTCGACTGTATCAAATTCTTGAGTTTCCACATAAGTATGGAATTAAATAAGATCTGTGAAATGACGTTCGATTTTCCCTGAAATACTTATGGAACATACTTTGCATAGGATGAATAGTGAAGAATTCTATTGAGTATGCAATTGACTTATTCATTATTAGGCACCAGTACAACATACGTCAACGCAGTTGAAATCAAGAATACGTCATTCACCTGACTGGCATGTATTTTAAGGGATTATCCATAAATACAAATGGTAAGAAAATATATATGAAAAAATCTGATACCGATCTGCTTACCTATGATTCTTAGTTCTATTACCTACGAGACAATATGAGAATATTCAAAGCTGGATTAAATAGTTCACCATAGTCATGTTAGTCAATCAAGTCACTTTCACATCATTATCAGGTTTCAATTGAATTTTTCAAAGGTTGGTTCTCAGATTCTATCAAGCCAAATAACAATCATCAGTTCGAAATACATTCCCCGAATATAACCAAAATCATTAGCCTTTAAATCATTATGATGATTGTATCTATGGTATTTTTGTTAGTAACGCTCACAATGTGTTTATTACTATTCAATCGAATAACTTGTATTTTACCCTGTGAACATATATCTATATAGAATCCTTCAGATTGCAAAATGGCCAAATATGTGACATTTGACTTCACTAATTTGTGTGGGTTTGGTTGTTCCATGCATCAACTCATGTTTTGTTTTCAATTGGCCTTTGAATCGGAGCGCGTTTTAATAGTGAGGAATCACCCGCCCGGAGATGTTTTTCGAGAATGGCTTCATCAGAACACACTTCCACTTTCTGAGAAATGTAGTCATGTGGATACAAATGGTAGATCAGGTTTGTAAACGATAATTTTTATTATCGGTTTGTTGTAATTGTCAGACCTTTATGATTGTATTGAACTATTCAGTAGAACATTTTCAATTATCTTTTGATAAAGCACATGTAAATACTGCAAACCATTGAGAAGAACTCATCAAGTAACATAGCACTGTATACTATATACATAAAAGAACGTGTGAACAAATCTTATTATTTGCAAAATTTCATGTCCTATTGTTCGTCCTAATATTAATAAAATCTCGCTCAATCGCTTTTCCGACTCCCAAATCAGTTTTTATCTCTGATCGGTAGACGCTCGATTCACAATTTAACACACAATTTATCATGCTTAATGAATATATTCGTCCGCTTGTTTACTTCAGATAACATTCGATGTCCTTTTATTCGATATGGTCACAAAGCACATAACTGGTTGCCACATGTTCTACCGGTAGATATGAATGCAGAATTATTACGTTTACATGAAGCACCATATGTTTGGTTTGCTGGTCAACTAGCAGCCTACATTTTGCGTCCAAGGCCACAATTTGCACAATTAATCAATGCAACCTTGAAGAGCTTTAAAGCGAGTGGAAATCCTGTTGTTGGCGTGCATATCAGACGTACTGATAAGGTTGGTGTTTGTTTATATACCTCGTTAGAATATGGTATGATGCACTTTATTGTTAATTGTTCAGAATCATGACAGTGCATATTCAGAATGTAAAGCATGCTTTTAGTTTGTTGTAGTAGTTTTGTCTTTGGATTGAAATACGTTTGAAAATTGGGTTTGTCATTCAGAAATCATCATCTTTGTCAATGGAATACTGATTGACAGATTTGGTTGATTTCGATGTATTTGGTTCTGCATAGGTTTGGGGTTTATCTTTTAATCAGATGTTTGAATGAAATAAACAATTCGTGATATTATTCCATGCAGTAAGTCTGTTAAGCGTTACCGATTGGCTTTCTGTATAGATTCTAAACATCAAACTATTAGTCTACTGACCACTGGTGTGTTGTTGTTCTTCAGGATATATCTTGGGAGGAGAAGTGTCCCAAATATTCACATTTCAGCTGGTAACGTGGTACAAGTACCCCAAAGTTCAGTACTATGTTTGAAAACATGTTTATTTTCTGCCTTCACATGTTGCTGTATATCAAGAAGTAGACATGAGTAGATCTGCTACAGTACGTATGCTCAATATACCTTCATTTCTCCACCTGTAGACCATCCGTGGGTTCCGGCTGGTTTCAAGCACGGATAAGGTAGTACGGTTGCTCACCGGGTTAGCGACTCTATCCCGTAGAAAACTAACTCGCTGAAAAAACGTTGGCCAGAAAAAGTAATTCAAACCATTTAAACTCTGCCCTGGGAGCCAGAAGGTCTTCATTTAGAAAAGTTATGAAGGCTCATGATGAAAGTTCAGTTCCTTCGGAAGTCACGAGACCTATTTCCTTCTAACAACCAGAGCATCCATCTGTTTAGGTACAGGGAATGCTCATATATGGTGGGAGACCGGAAGAATATTCCAAATCGCTGAAGAAACGAGGAGATGCTACCTGGAGGTTCTTCGAACCAGTAAAATACATTGGACGCAGGTTGAACAAGAATGGTTAGCTTCAGGGGATCTTCTGTTATACTCAGGCCATGAAGGAGAAAATGCCACAAATACATAAGGGGTTGCATTGATGCCATCCAAGTATGCAGAAACTGCACTTGAAGAATGGGAATCTCATGAACCAGGGGTCATCAAAGCAAAGAGAGAGGGCATTACAATGAACGTCATCCAATGATATGAGCCTACCAACGACTACGATGAAGACGTCAATGACCAATTTTACGATAGGCTGCAGTCAATCGTTGAAAAATGCTCAACTAAGGATTTGACAATTCTGATGGGAGATTTGAATGCCAAGTTTAGAATGGACAACACCGGATATGAAGACGTCATGGGACGACATGGGCTGCGGGAAAGTAACGAAAATGGTGAAAGATTTGCAAACTTACGTGCCTTCAATAAATTGATCGTAGGCGGCACTATATTCCTTGATAAACGCATTGACAGAACCACATGGAATTTACCGGATCACACCGCGCAGAATCAAATCGACCATATCTAAATCAATAGAAAGTTTAGGAGGACGATGGAGGATGTGAGAACTAAGAGAGTAGCTGATATAGCACCAGATCATCATAAGCTGGTCAACAAGATGAAATTAAAACTCAAAAAGCACTGGACAACGGGGTGGACAACATCACAAAAGCCTTATACGATTTTTTTCAGAATACCTACAAAGTGAACAAATTCAAGATAGCCCGCTATGCCATTCATGATCTACTCAATGGAGAGGGAACTACTATAGAGAGCAACTGGAAAGGGATAAAAGAGATAATCACTTCGAAACATCAAGAGGTTTTGAGCCATAAGAAGCACCATCACATGTAATGGATCACTGTTAGTATACTGGATAAGATTGAAGAAAGGAGGAACAAGAAGGCCACAATCAGTATCAGCCGAGCAAGCGCAGAAAAAGCCAACGCACATGCCTAATACACAGAAACAAGCAAGCAAGTGAAAAGGAACATCAGAACCAACAAACCTAAATATGTGCAACATATGGCAATGACGGCGGAAAAGGCCGCAAGAGGAGGAAACATGAAACAGCTGTATGATACAACAAAGAAACACGCTGGAAATTACAGTAAACCAGAACGACAAGTGAAAATCAGGGAAGGCACACTTGACGAAGAAGGTTTGGAGGATGTGAAAACCTTTACATATCTGGGCAGCATAATTGATGAACACGAGAGATCAGATGCAGATGTGAAGGTGTGGATCGGCAAAGCAGAGGGAGCTTATTTACAACTGAAGTACATCTGGGTCTCCAAAAAATTGTCAACCAACACTAAGATCAGAATGTTTAATACAAATGTCAATACAGTTCCACCGTTTGACGCGGAGACGTGGAGAACTACGAAAGCAATCTACCACAAGAAACAGGTGTTTATTAACAGTTAACTACTCAAGATACTTCGGATCCGTTGACCAGACATTTCCAGCAACAAGTTACTGTGGCAGAGAACAAACCAGATTCTAGTGGAGGAAGAAATCAGGAAGAAGCGCTAGAAGTAGATAGAACACATTGGGGAAATCACCCAACTGCGTCACGAGGTAGGCCCTCACATGGAGTCCTGAAGGTCAAAGGAAAAGAGGGAGATAGAAGAAGACATTACGCCGAGAAATGGAGACACACATAAGGAGTATGAACAAAAATGGGATAGAACTATAAAGAAAGTTCCAGGATAAAGTGGGTCGAAGAATTCTGGTTGGCGGCCAATGCTACATTGAAAGTAACATGCTTGAGTATGTAAATAAGTAGGAACCGATTGATAATAGAATAATGTTTCAGGCTTTTCAAATGTCTTTGAGATTTTTGTGCTTCCAGCTTCGAGTATTTTGACACTTCTTTAGTTGGATTTATGCGCAAAATTATTCACAACCATTTGTACAGGCAAATCTACTTTAAGACATAGACCGGGAGAGTGACCACTATATTCTATGTTGTGTTGGTCGCAGATTCACCAGTTTTTCTTATGTTTGGTGTTTGTTCTGCCTTTATTTCTCATTACACACTTGATCTTTTACAATAATGATTGTACTGCATTATAGGCTGCAGCTACTGCTTATGGCCTTTTAAATGTGTTCATGATGTTCTTCATATAGAGTAAAACTTCTCGTTTGCTGATTTTTGGTACTGATTTTATATTTGACGGTATATTAACGGACATTTCTTCATGATATATTACGTCTAACCATTGTTTCATAACGCATGCATTTTCATTTCCCTGTGGTGCTTCAATGTCTTTGTCCTTTTATGTAGTGTTTGTATAAAATATATTCTTCGCGTCAGTGCGTTGTTGCTGCTATAGGTGAGTATTCAACAAGTGTGATTTGTCATTCTGTATACTAAGTTCCAAGATTCTCTTTGTTGATTCTACCGGCTGTGTTTTTTTCTACTTCCAACAAGAAGTTTATGTTGACCGAAAAGTCGGCGATCAATTTGTAAGTACTTTGCAATAAATTGTTCTAGATTATGATGAATGTATTGACTGTATAGTAAACCCTACCACTTTTAGACGGATCAAATTTTTGCCATCATTGATACCATATTTTCTAAAAAGATGAACACCACGATAAATTAAAACGATCACATCTTGCGTTTGTTCTATTTTTTCTAGATAATTTACGAGGCTAAGTTTCACAACTTATCAGAGTATATGAAACAAGCGGATAAATTCTTTGATCGACAAAATGCTAGTTTCCTGACAATGTCGAAGAGACATGTAAGTCAATAAGATTAGCTCAATTATATAAAATCAACTGATTGTGTATTCAATAAGTAAACTGTAATTCGTTAATCAATTGATCGCACTTCAGTTGGTGATTAATCACAACGTAAGAGTTACCCTTTATTATGTGTGCTTGATGAATATATTTAAAAATGCAAATTGAATTATGAAGTTATTATGTCTGAAGTCAGAGAACGGAAAAAAGACTTTTTATCAGAGACTGTTAAGCTAGCTAATCTGACGTGTCCAAGTTGAAGGCGAGTCAAATATATTCTGGAAACAGCCAGAAGCACAGCGATCATAAGGGTAAGAAATCAATCGTATATATAAATCATAAAATTATCCGAGGGTAGCAATGCAAAATAGCACACTGAGAGATTCAACGGATCAATAGCGTTTAAGATATTTTACCGAGTGGGAAATACGACGCGAAGATGAAAAATGCGCCTTTGGCGCGAAAACAAAGAAATTCAAATTTTCAAGATAAAATTACAAAAACTGGTCCTCTACCAAGTGAATTCTGGGAATTTAACATCATCAACAGAAGTATTTCTTTCTTTGTGTTATTATTCTGCATTAGTATGTAAGTGTGTGAACTGATATTCAGTAAACGGTATTAAATCAACAGAATCGTATATCTCAATAGTTTCTCTAATGATAAGAATATGTAATTCGTAAAGCAAATGCACATGTATTTAGAAGAGTCAATTGCTTAAACACATCACGTATGAACAGAATTATGTAATTAAAATTGATTACAACTGGAAGAAATAAATGTACACAAATGGTCAAGTAGAAGACCAAGTTCATTGAAGGTGTTTCATGTGCACAAACATTGGACCTATTGATGTATGTTTCCATGCCTTCCGTGGTATGACGAGAACACATTTCAGAAGCATAGGTCGAGTGCGATGAAATTCCATGAATAAAGTTCTAAAGCGAATTCGTGGAGAGGTGGTAATCAGTATCAGTCAAGGCATCAAAGCATTTAACTTTCTCCGTGGTGAACAATTCACTTTACGAAATTCAACATTATTTAAATAAACTTATTCAGGCAAGCTTTGTTTTGTTCTTTAACGAATGTTTTGTAATGTGCTCAACTCCTCAGCATATGAGCGTAAAGGTGTCATTAAAATACAGTACATACAAAGTTGAATCATTTGAAAATCAATCAGAATTCTAAACTAGACAGGCACGACAATGTGAATTTGTCAGTTATCTGCATGTTTTAAAATTGAGGTTCTATGAATGTGAAAAATACTACATTACTTTATTGTGACTCATTGAGTAATGTAATTTTGACATTTATGCATATTTGTTGTAGTGTAAAGGAAAGGTGGAAAACTTGTCGTAAAGCGCTAATGTTATTCTGAAAGATTTTCAAGATTTCAACATATAACATGCATATGATGCCAGTTCAATGAGTGATTTATTTAAATATAGTTAAAGATTATTTGAGAACGATTTGTTAGTAAACATGTTTGGCAATATGCTATGGAATATTCTCTTACAATTGTAGATTTGAGACTGTGGAGTGTGGTTATTCACATCACAGTTGAATCTCTGGTTGATAATCATTAAAAACCAGGGAGCAGTAGACATGTTTCTTTCAGGGATCGATCCTAGCCCACTATCTTAAAGGTCATTTTCTTATTTGCGATCTTCAAATTTACTGAGTTTATTCTTTAAGGGAGTAAATGATTTGGATTGCAATATAGTCCTTTATTAGGACGAAATATCTGTACCATACATCCTAGTTTTTCACTGCTATTCAACTAAATTTGGCACATGATGCAAACTACGGAGTTTAATGTTACGAAGTACTTACATTATCTTCCGTCTTAAAAATTCTGTTTGAATGAGTAGAAACTGCGCATTGTGAGAACAAAAATGTTTCTCATGGTATATTATACTTAATTTGATCACGTCGAAATCAGACCGACCACATTGTCATTATCATTATAGACAATGAACCTGCTTTGTCGTTTACATAACTTATAGGACATAGAAGAGAAGAAATTTGGATCGATTTTTGGAAGAACTATTAGAAACAATAACTCATCTAAAAGAAGTGTTTATTTGGCCACAGATGATCCGAATGTTTTTACTCAATTCCCATACAGTCATCCTAACTACATTTTATATGGTAGTCCAGGTAGATCCCATTCAGCTGATTTGAGGATGCGGAAGACATATAATTCAATGAATAATGTAATCATTGACGTCATTGCACTTTCAATGACAGATTTCCTGGTGTGTACATTTTCATCGAATGTAAGTAATATAGTTTGAATTTTATCTCCAATATTACGTTGTTCATTTCGACTGGAATTCGAATGAAACAAACAACGTCTCATAAACAGTTCACGTTCATTGTACAGAGGTGCAGTGATGATAACCACAAGATTGAGAATCATTCATCAATAATGATGGAGAAATACAGAGGTCTTTTGCTAGTCGATTGAATGATTTCCATTAACAGCATTTGATACCTCAAGTGTATATCTCTTAGCTCTCTGTGAAAAATGTCCTTATGAATGTGAATATAAAATCACATGACTAAAGCGAAACGACTATTAGGTTTAAAATGATCTACAATAAGGTGTACAGTCTTTGTTTGCTTGAAAAATCTCATTAACATGTAATTGTGAAATTCCTATTATCCCAATGCCGTACTATTCATTACGAATTGGTTATTATGATTATTCTATGAATACCATTTGAAGTAGAAAAATAATAAAGTTTAGAGCATTCTTGTATCAATTCATATAGGATGAAGTAACTACATCTACATTTTTGAAACGTTTAGTCAAGAAAAATTAATAGCTTTTGATATATATATATCTGTGATTTTGGCTGTAATGTTTCACTAGTCGTCAAGCTGTTTTGAATGTGTTTTCTCTCAAAACTAGTCACTAGTGGACACTGTAGTCCTGAGTTCAAATCCTGCGTGCATGAACTTTGGTGCTCACTGCCAGTGAGTTCGATACTACGACAACACATGCATCCAGTGCTTTCAGGTTTTCTATGGCGGTCAAACTTAGATCGGTTCATGATTTTAAAGATGTTCGACAATCTCTACAATCCCGAAGAAAATGTGTTTAAATCTGAGTCAACAGTTATAAAATTTCATTCAAATTCTAAGCTATGAAAGCCAGAGGTTGCGATTCATCCTCGAAATTTGATGATAATCTTTAAATAATATCAGTAATTATCCTAACAACTCATATATGATGGTTAATCTTATAGTTATTTTTCTTAGATTTGTCGTTTAGCTTATGAATTAATGCAAACGCGTCATATGGAATTCGGTGATACAACACAATTATGTCATTCCATCGATTTTGCATTCCATCAAGAAGATTACAGCAGACTAAAATTTGATGTGATTATACCAGATATGAAAGGGCATTTAAAGTATGGTGATGTAGTAGATGCTTTCATAAATCATGGGAACGGTTCAGCGTCAGTAAAACTGGAGAAGAATACGAAGAACGAATTTTTCATTGCACCTGCTTACAAGTTTCGACCAACAATAAACATGACTTGGTTCAACTGACAGAAGTGATATTATTTCAAAAGACTACATATCATTTTAAATTCAGTTTTATACCGCCATCTTTTTTCCAGCTTCCCTTTTGGTGCGTGACATTATCCTACACATAGTTAGAAATATATATATTCACACTATTATAAATCTGTTGACTTTCACTTATGGGTGTTTCATTTAATTATTTGCTCAAATTGTTCGGTACTACCGAATAGACGTGACTCATGAAACAACACTGAAAAATTAATGTCCATTATTGACAAGATGAAAATATTTGTTCCAAAGTTATGATGGTTTATGCAAAGAAAAAGAAGTTAAAAATAGTTTAAATTTATTAGTTTTATGTTTATTTAATCGAGAAATCGAAGCACATGAATGAGATGTACATGAAAATGAAAAACCATGTCCAAGAAAATTGTACAAGTAGAGAGTGATTGTTACCAATATTGAGAGAGTGTAATTACAAAGACCTTGGTTAACCTAAGAAAGCTGCCACTTCGCTCATGTGATACCAGATTATAATGTAGATTTTAGGATGAATATACTTCTAGATGGTATCATTAATTTGTGCGAGTCACCATTCAGTAGTTAGCGTCATGCAGTTTGAGCGAAATTGAACTACATAATTTGTGATTACATTTGTAAAGAAGAAACGAAAGACAAATGAATGGAGAAAGTGACGAATTGACTGATTAGTGTGATAAGCTTCGAACTTCTCTCATCTTAAATGGTTTTGATTATTGACATTTCAAAGAAATGTTTCTCGAGGATTCCACATAATATATTCTGACTGGAGTAAAGTGATGACGTTGGAGTTGACAGACCTGCAACGACCGTTCGATGCTATAAGCTGCACTGATTGTGTTAAAGGAACAGTAGCTCGAATTGATTAATTGAATTACTCAACACATACTCACCTACATACATAAATCTGTTGATGTTCTATCAAGTTAATTTTCCCAGGTGACTTGACCAGCTTATGAGATTTAAATATCTATCTGGATGAATATTTGGAGTGAAATTAGCTTTAGTCTTTGCCATGTCTACTGGACACAATAATAATAATAACGCATAATTCAGAATACTGGCACCTCCATAAGTTCATAGAATTGTACAGGATGAAAATTTGAAACATATCTTGCCTTAAACTAGATTCAAGATTGATCAAGTGAGTTATTGAATGACCTATTGTGCACATAAGTTTCAATAGACACTTGAATTGAATTCATATATTCAGATTTCGTATGTGGGTATGTAGGCAGACCCAACAAAGTATTCGCAAGCTGATCTTTTAAATGTTATGTATTTTGCTGTTAATAGACGACCGGGCTTGAAGGAATGACATTTTGTCCTCCTGATATAACATTCCTCATGAGAGCTGATAAATGTGATGGATACACAGTCTATTGACTAAACTCGTTCTCTAGCTTATTTGAGGATTGACACGCATTCCTATGCGACTGTATTCATAGAACTATGTCTGTTGTGTAGTCTCCACAAATCCATTTTGAACTGCTTTGGTATAAAAGCGAGCATCAGACAAATCTATTTTCAGTGCATCACGATTTCACTTGTATACGCGAAACCCTGTGACTAATCATTTAGTTAAGCTATATATTTGTTTCATATTTTTTCTTTTGGCCATTTCTGATTTCTGATGAACAAATAACACAACTTTCTGTTCCCTTCCTTGAGATATATTTCTGTCATTCGTCTCATAGTCGCAGAATGATTTCTGCACAACCACCAGATCACGTTGTTTAATTGTTGAGTATTTATGATGAATAATACCTCGTAAAAGCGTTCACGAGTTTTATTGATGATAACTGTATGTTGCCTAACGGTGAACTTCAAGTCGATTCGAAAAATTATGGGATCACACTCCTGTGATTAGTAGTAAGTCACGCTTCTGATCGACTAAAATGGTAAGCGATATTATCGTAATATACAGCGATCCGTTTGAAATTTTCGCTTTTTCTCGTGTTATGAATTTAACAACCTTCTATCTAGTACAACTCTCACTGTTACTTTTTAAAAATGTGGTGCCTCTCCTAACTAACTTATCTGGCATACTTCTTAGTCAGGTAGCCTTTTATTGACCAACTACCATAGTCTGTTCTGTTCTTTAGACACGTTACTGAGCCAGACGATATATTAGCGGTGGAAGAAATGACAAGCAATGGATCTAGGTGATCTGAATCAAGCAGATCAGATGAAAATAATACGGAAATGTAGTTAGTGAACCTGCGTCACTGAACTATGATAATATTACCCCGGTTGTCCAACATCCCAATCTTGAAATCAAGATTCAGTTTGTTAAAGCTTTGAATATCACATATGATATGGAAAATGGTTTGAACGAATTAGTAGGGCACTATAGTGACAACCAATCAGAAGACGTATGTATTTGTTGGGTTCAGTAATAAAATAAGTGCTGATACCATCCCATGAAGACGTGTAGCGAACAATCAGTTCTAATAAGATAGTGACCACTACCACAATTTAGTGGTGAATCAATCACCGAAATAGATGGTTATGTAAGCGTTCAATACTGATACTGACCGTAGTTCTACTGAACACATCATACTATAATTCACACCAGATCACGAGTGGTTACGCCATGCCGAACATCCTGTGCAAATGCATAAGCATCGCTCATCACAAAGCAGACCAGTAGTGGAAGACGCGAACCCAGCCACATAAAAACTCACAGTAATAAACGTTGCTTAATAAAAAAAACATATTAACCCCCTATCCAGGAAATCAAAGACAGAAACACTGAAAATCGGCGCCAAACAATTGACTGCAGATATAAATAGTAAACTGAGTCCGCTAAGTAAGTACTATAACGCCCTCATTAAAATGGTGATCACCTCGTAAATAGTTGCGCATAGGAGATACTGTATGTCCGAAAACCCATGTCAAGGACACCATTAACTGTCAATACCACAAAACTGAGGACAATTAGCTTTCATTAACAATATATCGGATAACATGACATCACCGAATGTGGTAAGTAATCTAGGGAACAGGATTTGCAACACTTCATAGTGATCTATTATCGACCTTATCATAGGAAACAGGTAAATGCTCATTCTATCATATTAGGTTTTAGGTAACCATAGTGTGTTTATGATTAAACTCAATAGTTCATGCACTTCAAATAATACAATGAGAACACGGAAATGTTGCGCAAGTCACTAGGCACATCTACTATACTAGACGTAGAACTAGGTATAAATGATGACACCACATCCTGAAAATATGTGAAAATTTCAAGTATGCTTCACGTTCATCACAGTAGGAATCTTAGGGACTGGAAGGAAAATACCTCATCAAGATACCAAAGAAAGGAGATCTGAGCAGATGAGACGACTACAGAGGCATCACACTGTTGTCAGTGTAACATGCATTTTGAAGGTGAAAATCCCTCCATGTATACACTTGCATTTTCTTCTTACTGGTTTCTTCATTTGTAAATTAATGTTAATCTTTTTGTTGCCATTTGAGACTGTAAAGTTTAATTTCATAATATTTTTCTCAGTTCTTCTATCGCTTTCATACGGTTTCTTTGTTTCTTCTTGAACTGTATCTAATTTGTTTTAATTGATATTATTCTGGCGGCTGCCATATTGGTTGTGCCATATTTGACAGTGTTGCTTACTTGGATTGAAATAGTGCGTTTTGGTTCTTAATTGGAGCAGTTTCCCACAATTAGAACACTTGTGTTTTATAAAGGTATGAATGATTACAAACTGCATCCTCATAGGATGTGATAACAGAAGGGCACCAATCCTTACTGAGATATCCACCATGTCGTTAGGTAGACGGGTCTACTCTAGCGAATCCACCTGTAGTTCTTATAGAGCTACTGGCGTTCTCAGGAAAGGGTGCAGAAGGATAGTTGTGTGTAAGATCAGTAAAACCACCCTGTAGAAAACAGCCTTGTTTAATAAGCGTTAACTACTGTAGACAAAGTAAACCACTTAAACTCTATCCTCCGAGTTGAAAGATCTTATTTCGGAAGAATAATAACTCCTCATGTTGACATCCGATATTCTTTGGAGGTCGCGAGACTAATGTCGTCCTTAACAACTAGAGCAACAATTTTTATTTCATTATTTGGACACATGAAAATTGTACAAGGAAACACCAGATAAATATGATCCACACACGTTTTATTGGTACATGGAACATTCGGACAATGTGGGTGAATTGTAAGACCAGTCAAACAGCTATGGAAATGCGGAGATACAACTTGGCGATTATCGTAACCTGCGAAACCCATTGTACATAATCTGGAAAGAAAAGGTTAGGTACGGGTGAGATTCTTTTGTACTGTGACCACGAACAGGAAAATGCTCCACACATTCAGAGAGCATCTTTAAAAATAATGGATGGGATTACAATTATTATTATCCAATTTTATGCACCCACAACGATGACAATGACTCTGATAACAATCAGATCTATGAGAGGCTGCAATCGATCATAACAAAGTGCCCAAGAAAGGACCTGACAATACTGACGAGAGATCAAAACGCCAAAGTTGGAATGGACAGCAACGGTTGTGAAGGTATGTTGAAACGACATGGACACCTAAAAAAGTTGGAAAACCCTGATTTCAAACTAATTTTGTACATAGGCCCAATGATATTGAGTAGACGAATGACGTAGGAACGCATCGTTTGTCACCGGCTACCATGGGACTGCATCTCTTTATGTTGTTCCACTGTCCCCTGGAATAGACATGTAGGTCAAAGGCTCTGAGAGTTTCAACCTGAGACGAATATTTGCTTTCGTTTGGGCACCTGAGCAGTATCCACGCACTGATATATATATATATATATATGGTGAGAGATTTAAAAATCTATGTGCATTCAACAAATTGATTACAAGTGGTACAATATTTTCACACAAACGCATGCACAAAGCTACATGAGTATCACTGAATCACACCATGTGGAACCAGATGGTAACATATTCAGAAGGGCAATAGAGGATGTGAGAACCTGGAGAGGAACCGACATAGCTCCAGAACACAACTAACTGAAGGTTGACGCTGTGAAACTGAAGCTAAAGATACATTGGACAACTAGAAAAACAGCACTACAAAGGTGCAATAAAATATTCCTTCGACAT